GAAATATGAGTGTTTTTACTCTCTAGAAAATAATTTACATAGTTCACATACGCGGTTTTGCATTATCTTGATACGCGGTTTTGTACTTTAAACGACGATATGTATATTTGTTAAAGATTTGTTTAATAACTACATATCGTCGTTTAAAGTACAAAACCGCGTATCAACAAAATGCAAAACCGCGTATAAAGATAATGCAAAGCAACGTATGTGAGGTTGAATAATTTATTTTCTAGAGGGTAAAAACACTAATATTTCAAAATGGTTCCCTCTTTTATAAAGCAACCGCATATCTGGCTAGTATATTTCTCGAAGAATGGATAAGGATTGAGTCAAGAGCTTGTGTAAGCAAATCCAATTTTTGGCAGCAAATGTCAGTTACGCGGTTTTGCAGAATGATGGTACACGGTTTTGTACTTTAAACGACGATATATGTACATATGTCGTCCAAACGTACACAAGCATGTGTACCAGTAATGTCCGAAAATCCCTACCATCACCTACAAATATCTTTACTTTCCCCTACGTCCAAAATAAAATTCTCTACAAAATTCCCTACAGCACTTTGGTTCCAGCAGTGCGTACAAATTCTCAAAATTAAAGCACATTTACAAGAGGTGGTTTTATAAGCAATTCAACATGGCAACTTTAAATGAGCATGTCCCTGTTCGCTCTGCACAAGGCACAATAAAAAAAAATTAAATCAATTACGTAGATACGTTTTTGTTCTAAATATGTACATAATATAACCAATAATAATATAACCAGAGACCCAAAATAATTATTATCTTAATATTTGAGATCAAAAACGTCGCCTTGTTTTAAGAGAATTTTTTTTCGTCTTTGTATAATAATTACTTACGAGAAATATCTTTTTTTGTCTCGCGGGGTGATCATTTTTAGATGGAAATTATTTACGTCTTTCCATAATAATTATATGGGATTTTTATTTTTCTCATCTCTCGGGACGTATATTTCAAGACGAAAATTATTTACGTCTTCTCATAAGACTTTTCGTATATCTGCAGGCTGTTTTTCTGTTCTATTAACCTTAGCTTTCATTCTCTGGCATTGCAATAGTACATTTGTATTTAATTATGTTCTTTTGCTGAGTAGAGTTCCCTCCATTCAAAGTCGCTATGATGGTTTTCAACAAAACTTTTGATATGGTCTCCGGCGCTAATAAAAATCACAAAGTAATTATTAATATTCCATGCAAGCAGAATAAAGACCTAAATATAGTTCACTTTAATGCGCGGAGCCTTAACGCAAATAAACTGGACTATGAAAGAAACATATTCGTTGAGTCTGCGGTTGATGTCATTTGTGTTACTGAGACTTGGTTCAGTACTGATGTGTCCGACTTTTGCTACAGTATTTCGCACTATAAGTTGGTTAGACATGATCGAAGCTCTAAAAAGGAGGGGTGGGGTTGCGATATACTGCAGGTCCAACCTCAAAATCAAATTATTGGCGGAATCGGCTAACTTTGAAACTGGGTTTATAATTTCTGAGGTCTCTGATGGTGTAAGTAAAGTGTTAGTGTCTTGTGTATATAACCCTAATAAGTCATGTATGTTGGATTTGTTTTTTGATGAGTTAGCACTATTTTTAATTGATTATGAACGATATAATATGTGTTTTAATATTAAATTGTTTGTGAATGATTCGTATACAAATAAACTTTATGACAAGGTTCCGGCAGGAGGGCTTATTATAGTTAACAAATCTCTGCCTACGAGATACGCCAATAATGCAAGTCCCAGCCCTTTGGATACTTTTATCTCGTCTGATCTTAATCACATACTTAAATTTGACCAAATATTCTTTGTATCTGACCATGATTTAATTTTTCGTTCGTTAGATGTAGCTCTTAATCGTCGTGCTGTGGATGTTACTTTTACGTATCGTGATTTTAAGTCTATAAATGTTAGTCAGCTATTTTGTGATTCGTCTCGTGTATGTTGGGATGATTGTTGGTTTTATGAATCTGTTGATAAAAAGCCTGACTTTCTTAATAAAAACTTGTTGGCAACTTTAATTGAGCATGTCCCTGTTCGCTCTGTCCGAGATATGAATTACTCGTGCCCATGGTACACAAAGATAGTCTGCTTGGCCATAAGAAAGCGAAATAGATTGCATGCTAAATATATTGTAGAATATCGGCTACATTGTGTGTCTCCCAAAAATGGACGAAATATTTGCAAAAATAAACTACGATATAAATATCAGCTGCTAGAAAAAGGAGTATATGTTTCATATGGAACATTTGCATAACAACCTTTTTAGGAGTTTAAAAAAAGATACTATTTTTTCAAAGATATATAATGGAGTATATCTAAAAGGAAATATTATTTTCATTTTTGTTGTTGGTATTTCCGACAGGGTAGGAGTGTGATGTAATGTGGAACGATTTTCCGTCATCCCTTGTCAAATTTGGTTTGGAGACAAACCGGTTTCGGCGTTGTGCCATCTTCAGTGTCATTTTTCGTTCTGAATAGTTTCTGTTTGTCTGTCACTATTTATAGCCGTGTTAAATCGTCGTTGGTTCATAGTTAGGTACGTCTCAGCGGATTATATTCTTTCGTTCAAACAGTAGTTTCAGTTCTGTGTGTACATCCTCAGGTAGAAATTAGCTGCTCACCTCTTCTTTGATTATATTATTTTGTGATAGCTTCTATCAACAAACCTACATAGAATTTTATGCGCATTCATGCATACATTTGGATGTACACACCAGGGAAGCCAACTCGTGCGGAATTCCCCGGTTTGCGGGGAATTTCAGTTTGCGTGGGGAATCAGGGAATGGACCATTTTTCGGGGAATTATGTGTAAATAATTTTTATTTTTTGCTTCACTAATTTCATAATGATTTATAAAAAATGTAAGTTGAAATGTCTCACCCGTCACCGTGGAATGAGCCGTATGCAGTTTTGTAGCTCGTTCAAT